CATTATAGGAAAATGAAAACAAGATAAATAGTGTGTGCACATGGGTTTCACACATGAAGCTATGAAAGTGTGGGTGGCATGACAGAGATGAAGCTGTCTAAGGAGGGAACCAATGGGAGGGAGAGAGAGGTGTAAGAAAGGGGAAGACAGAGCATAAGAGCAGTGTTCAACACACAACACACTTGGACAAAACTTCACAAGATTGTTCAAATAAAGAGTCAAAAAGAATTAAATACACAAAGGAACAAGTTGAAATAAGGCTAAAATCCAGTATCTCCTCTAAAAGTACACTTAAACAATGGGAAGAATGAGAAACATAAAGACCACCTTTGGTGTAATCAGAAGATATTATAACTATAACCTGGAATATAAAGCATAAAAAAAAACAAAGGGGTAAAATGGTAAATGCTTTGGTATAACAGGGCAGGGAAATGATGACAATTTTGTTTTCAGTACTCGGTTTGAACCTAGGGCCTTTTGTGCATACCAGGCAAGCACTCTACCACTAAGGTATACCCCAACTTAAGGAGGACAATCTTATATACCATAAACAAATGGTTGGAAATGGGAGGCAGCAAGCATAGAGGGCAGAATACCCACATACTCCTAACGATAAGAGGTGTAAATTCTCTAGAATTTCAATCAGAATGCCTCCAGGCTCAGGAGTTCCTACTGAGAAAAGGGGGTGGGGGATAAGTTTGACATGAAAACAGGGAAAAAGAGTGAATTTCTGAACTAGCTAGCAACATTTGTGGCTTTCTTCTCTCACCAATCACCAGAACCCTGCTACCTAACTGTATCTCTGTGAAGCATGATGTGACTGGATTGAGAGACTGGGCTTCTATGAGGAAATAATAAATAAGAAGTCACAAATGGGAGAGTTGGAACCAAGTAGGACTGGTGGCCGTCTAGGAAGAAACCAGTTATCTCCCTCTTTGCCCCCACAAAAAGCAAAGAACCCGATAAAGACCACGTGAATGCACATGGGGAGTGAAGGCAGACATCTGCAGACAGTGAAAGTGGCCCTTCCAGAACTGAACCCTGTCAGACTACTGATCTCAGGCTTACAGCTTCCCCACCTGTAGAGAAATTTCTTCTGCACTCTAGGTGCAGTGAAGAAGACTTTCTGCCCAGCATCTGGCCCAAAAGAGACAAAAATGAAGTTTAGTCTAAAGAAGCAGAGAGTGCTTAACCCAGAAAAAAATAAAACAGATGAAAACATGAGCTCAGTCAGCCTATACATGTTCAGGAGCTTTCCATGAATATTTGTAACTTTCATATTTAAGAAATATGAAACTGCTAAAAATAACAGATTTGAGGGCAGCCTCCAAATAAATGAGAACAAAACAAACAGGAAGAAAAGATTAGTAGAACCAATATTAAGGCAGGAAACAGAACATTTCAAAGAAACTATAATTAGCATCCTTGAAGAAATAGAGATGCAGAGGCCATAAAGAAAAAAAAAAGATATTGCAATACAGAAACAAAAACACACAGATTTATAGTTTTATAGTTTTTTATAGCTGAATTTTTTAAAAATCAGTGAAAGGGCTGACATAGGATACTTTTTAGAGATCAGTTTCTTTGAATATCAACATCAGAAGGCAAACAATAACAGAACGCCATCTTCAAACTTTCCAGAGCAAGCAGCCTGAGGAAAAAAACCCAACAGATAAGCAGCCAAGTGTGAGGGTAAAAATAAAACCCAAAAAAGTAGTTTCTAGGTGTTCCATAGAGTACTGCTAGTAGAAAAAAAAAAAAAATGATGAAAGAATAAACTAAAAAGCAGGGGATTCAGAAAAAAGGAACACAACAGCAATGAAAGAAATTGCAGGGTGTCAGGGTGGACAACTTTATGCAGCAGGCCTTTAAGAGAAAGCAACCCAGGCTAAGTCAGGAAGAAGGTACAGAAGGGATTGCCATGCAGATTTAAACATATGGAAAATTACACTAAGAACCATGTTAGAGAGGCACAGAAAGAGGGGGGGCGGGGTACAGGCTACAACAGGTTACCCCAAACACAATCTCTCAGCAGTGCCAACCATGATGAAAACTCTATGCAGCTAAGAAGACGGCTCAGTGGGTAAGACAGAACGCTGAGTCCAAATTCCCAGCACCCATGTAAGAAGCCAGGCATGGCTGAATGTGGCTACCACCCTATCACTGGGGGATAAAGATAAGGTGATCCATAGAGCATGCTGGCCTGTCAGCTTAGCCACAGACAGGCTTTCCGGTTCAATGAGAGATTGTATCTCAAGGCAGTAAGGTAGAAAGCAATAGAAAACATCCAAATTCCTGCTCTGGCCTCTGCATAGGCATGCACCCCACATACAACACACGTTCCACACACACAGACAGAAAATATCCCATTATTGGAATGTGTGAAAAGTGCATGATACCTTCAGTACACCATTTTAACCTTCCACTTTTTTTGTTAAGGACAGAGTCTCACTAGGTAGCTCAGGCTGGCCCAAGACCCTAAATCCTCTGGCTCCCTCTCAAATGTTCAGATTACAAACTGCATCATCATGCCTAGTTCTGGATTTTCCATTGCAAACCTCATTTGGTGTTACAAAAAATTTAGTAGCTCATCTGGTTATTCTGTAATTTTAAAAAAATCAAGTTAGACATGGAGTGGTGGTGGCACATGGCTTTGGTTCCTGCTCTCAGGAGGCAGAGGCAGGAGGATCTCTGTGTGTTCAAGGCCAGCCTGGTCTACAGAGTGAGTTCAGAAACCAAAACAAAACAACTCTTAGGAGAAAAATCACAGCTGGTTCCAGGCCAGCCTGAACTACACAGCACTCTTTTAAATCCTAAAAAATTCTGCATGACAGCTGCAGCCCCTTCAGCAGCCTCGGAGTTGACAGGTGCATACCACATCACCTCTGTACTCCAGGTGCCCAGGTTAGAACTTTCTTAATCTGCTCATTTATCCCTCCTAGCTTCAAAGGCAGATTAGGACTGAGCCACCTTTAATTTACTGTGGAGGTAAGAAAACTGCTAGCCATGCTTCCAACTCAACAGTTATTAAATGCTGTCTCAGGCAGTTTCAAATGCACGTTTATTTTATCCAAATGTTTTTTTTCTGTTAGGTAAATGTAGTTAGCATCTAGCCAGGTGTGATGGCCCACACAACATAAAAGGGATCTAACAGATGTAGTGGCTCACACCTGTAATCCCAGTGTTAATGTCTAGCTACACGTATGTGGTGGCCAACATCTTTAATATCAGCAGGCAGGTCTCTGGCGATTCAAGGCTGGCCTGGTCTACAGAGTGAGTTCCAGAGCAGCAAGAGCAACCCTGTCTCAGAAAAAAAACAAACAAAAAAAAAAAAAAAAAAAACAGTTGATATCTAACCATTATCCCACATAGGTTATGGGAAAATATTTTTCCCACATCTTAATATAAAAACTATCGCTGCTTATACTTAAAACTAATAGGTAGCCCAAAAAGAAAGGGTTTAGGTTTGGGGTTACTGCATTTATTTGGAGGGCATGCTGTGTCACAGAAGACCTGGAGGTCAGAGAACATGATTCTCTCTATCCTATGGGTCTGTAGGACTGAACCCAGATCATGGTCACAATACACAGCCAAATGCCTGAGCCATCTCAGCAGTCCCCCAAAGAAGAGTTTTCCAACGTCATTTAACACTGCTAAGTCTATCTTTACAGTCACTTCACCACAATGGCCACATATATATGTATATATTTTTATACACACACACACACACACACACATTTTAAGCCAATACTGTTTCTTAAAATACTTATTCTTTTCATCAGTCAAGTACTCCATCAATAGTCTACTTCTTCAGAGAACATGTGAAAAGCACATGGGAAGTTTACACAAGTAAGCATAATTCCAGCTGCATATGGATGAACTCGGAAGCATTTTATAACTTAAATTTCCTATTTAACCAATACAACAAAGAGATTGAAAAAATATGACCACCTAAAACTCGGGAGCAGAAAGAAAGTAACTTCATACTCAAAACATTCCTGAGGCAACACTCTAAAACACAGGAGCAGCATTACACTGGCCTGCCGGGGTGGGGGGGTGGGGGGGGTAAGAGTACAGGGTCACTAGCTTGGCTTGAGGTACACGTATAGAATTCTTTTAAATTGTAAATAATGAACCCTTCTATCCATATAATTTTCAAGATCTAAGCTAACATTAGATCAGCAAGGCTAACACGGCTTGGCATTTCACTTGCATTCCAAAACAAAACAGAAAACTTCACAACACTGTGTGACAATGACAACGTATATTACATAACCTCATGATCACTTAAAGATCTACTTTCTAACCCATCCACTTTGTATTACAATCAGATCTCTATATAGCCACGGATAACTAAGGACCCCTTATTCTAAAGAAATTCTGAAAACTATACTAGCTTACATTACAAAAGAATACTAGAAAAGGACATTTAAGAAAATTTCCCATTTTTTTTTTATGCAGAAACACTTTGCAGTTACTTGATTTGGCCAGAAAAAAAAAAGTCAAAGTATTTAATTTTGCCATTTGTTACGGGGTGGGGGAGAATATGGCTGAATGCTTCTGAGGGGTAGTATTCAAAACAGACAGGCCCAAACATTTTAAGAATATGGAGCAGCTCGAAAGGTGAAAGATGGGCACCTTAGAAACCTCACACTCGATGCCCGGCACACTACCTCATCTCCCTAATAGGGATGAGACGTTCCGGTCTCGGTAGCTTCCAGCTTATGCCAACACACTCGCCACCCACCCACCCACCCCCCTTTTCTTTTTTGGACAGGATTTTCTGGCGCTGGAGGCCCGCGTCGCAAATACGAGTCCCTGCAACCACGTCCGATGCCCCCGCGTAATCTTTAAGAACCTATTCAAACACACCCAGGAGGGTTCCCCTGGACCCGTCCCACGCGCCCTGCAGCGCCGCAGCTGCAAAGGAAACGCGGGGAGTTTCGGCCGTCCCCCGCCCCGCGCCGGCCCGCGCACTCCCCTCCCCCGCCGGCACCCACCTCGCGGCGGCGGCGGCGGCTTCGCCTCTCCGTTCTCATCGCCGGCGCCGCCGAGGCCGTGCCTGCGTTTCTCCCGCTCGCGCCTGTCCTTGGGTCTGCGCGGCTTGGTGGCCGGCGGGGCGGCGGGCGGCAGCAGGACGTGCCGAGACTGAGCGTGCAGCGGCGACGGGGCGACCAGCAGCCTGCGCGGCGGCGGCTGAGACGAGGAAGCGGGGGCTGAGGAAGCTGCCGGGCTGGCCGGGAAGGAGAAGCAGCTCCGGGGCGAGGCCGGGGAGGCGGCGGCGGTCGCGGAGGAGGCGGCGGCGGGCAGAGCCGCGAAGCTCCAAGCCGCCGGGCTGCCGTAGCTCTGAGGCGACGGTGCAGCGGGCGGCTGCAGCTGCCTGCCGTTCCCGCCGCTGCCCCCTTCGCCGTTCACTCTCCGTGGCGCCTTCTTCTCCTCAGTCCGAACCTTCTTGGCGGACATGGATGCCGCTGGCTGCCGCGAGGCGGGCTGCAGCTTGCCGCACGTTTCCTTCTCAGCTAGGACAGCGACGGCACCGTACGCGGGGTTCGGCGGCTCCGCCATTTTGCGCTCCTCTTGTATTTACTCTGGTCCGTTCCCCGGCGCGGGGCACGGGGCGGGGTCCCCGGGCCCAGGCCAAGCTCCCATTGGGCGCGCTAAACTGAGGGATCCTTTAACTCACCAATCAAAGGCGCATACACAAGCCGTCGGGGCGGGGTTACCAAGCGGGCTTTCTCGGAAGGTCAGAGGTCCTCTCCGCAGGGCTGGTGTCAGAAGCGGGAGTTCGCTGTGGTTCGAGGGAACTCGGGTGCCGCGGGGAGAGCCCCGAAATCTGCCAGCACCGAGGCAGCGAGCGCCTCAGACACTTTGCCTTACTTGTCGGCTTTCTCCTCCTACCACCAGGTGGCTCGGGTCCCTCCTGGCCACTGCACGTTCTGAAAACCGGGTTCCAGCGTTGTTCGTGTCGGAGAACGTTTGTCGAGAATCCGACTGCCTGCAAAGGCTGACATGGTGCATAGATGCCTTGTTTTAACGAACGTCGTAAATGGGAGTGCTATCAAGAAGAGCTTCCTGCAGAGCTGGAACTTGGACCACTTGGGAGCATGGAGATAAAAATCATCCACTGTTTGCAAACTAAATTGAGTTTGAGTGCTTAAGGTTTTAATTTTAATTGTACCTATAACTCGCCAAGAGAACTACTTCTGTTAGTGATGCTTATGAGTGTTTGAAAATGAGAGTTCTGAATTTCAGAGTTAGCAGTATGAGAGTTCGCCAAGCATGTGCTTTGACTTTTTAATCTCGAATATAAGGGTTTGGAATTTGGGGGGTATGGGTTACGGCACAGTAGAAACTTTACGCAAAAGCATGCCTTTAACTCCTAGGTCCTGTATGAAGTCAGAATCTCGGAAGGCTAGATGTGAAGGTAACAACAAGTCGTCAGATCACCAGGGAAACGAAATTTTATGATTCCTAAGAACAGTAACTGATACTTTCTGCAAACCGTTTACAGTTACCTTTCAGGAATATTCTACTGGCCTCGGGAAATTGGAATACTTTGTTATTTTGTTACCTTTCTTTTATTCTCACCCCCACTTCTTTAGGACATGGAATGTTTAATGTTGTTTATAAATACATTTTTGTAGTTTGTTTGTTTTGGATTTTGGTTTGGTTTGGTTTGGTTTTTTTATGAGTCGTAGTCTCTCTGTGTAGGCCTAGCTATCCTGAAACTATGTATACTAACCAGGCCTCAAACTCAGAGACAACTGCCTACCTCTGCACCGCCCACCCCATCCCCCAGTGCTGGGATTAAAGGTGTCAACTATGCCTGGCCTCATGTTTTAGTTTTTAGAACAAGATTATTATAATATAAAGTGTATTTCCTGAAGCTATACCCACAAAGACAAATTTCGAATATTTTCTCTAATTGGTGAAATCTAGATTTGAATCTACATACACACACACATTCATATTTGACATAAAAGTAGAAGTGGAGGTAGAAATAAGAAAGGCGCTAAGAGGAAGAAAGTTATCTCTCATGTTCTCTCTCTTATGGAGAATGAATATGTGTATGGCACGGAAGCAGAGGATTATTTGGAGAAAGGGACTATCAACAAAGGGGATGAGCGAATAGTGGTATGAAAATGTCATAATGAAACTGAATGCTAATTAAGAAAATAAAGTTAAGACCGTTTACTTTTGTAGATTATCCGATTTGGGCATGAACAGTATCAGTTGGTCTAATGATCTTTTAAAAATGCATTTTTCCATTTCTCTCCTTTAGAAATTACTTGCTTGTATAATGGGGAGGGGGTGAATATCCAGGAAGGGAATGACTGTTTAATGATCTACTAAATAAATATACAACTATTTACTTATGCATCTCAAATATTAAATATCTAAGTATTTCCTAGCAGTGAGAGAGCAAGTGCTGAAATATGCTGGCAGCATATGTCTTCATTGACAGTAGCATATATGAGAGAGTGGATAAGGGCTGGCACTCAGCCACTACTCACCAGTCAGCTGATCGGAGCCACTCCGCCTGGTAAGATCTCTACTGTCTTAGGAAGTAAATGAGTGGATTTGACTACTATATCCCATATCTGTCATTTTCAAGTTTTGCAACATCACACTGAAACCATTACAATTAAAGTAATTTCTCATCCCACAATATAATACAGTTCTGTGATCCTAGCATTTTAAAGGTAGGAGCAGGAAGACCAGAAGTTCAAGGTCGTTCAAGGCCAACCTGGGCTATGTGAATACCTGTCTAAAAAACTAAAGTCAAATAAATTTTTAAATATTTTCTTTATTTTTACTGTATGTGTATGACCACATAGCATGCCTGGTGCCTGTGGAGGCCAGAAGAGAGCATGGTACTCAAGATGTATTTATTATGTATCTAGTGTTCTGCCTGCAGGCCAGAAGATGGGCCACCATGTGGTTGCTGGGAATTGAACTCAGGACCTCTCAAAGAACAGCCAGTGCTCTTAACTTAAGGATTCCCTGGAATTTGAGTTATAGACAGTTGTGAGCTGCCTTACTAGGAAACAAATTCATGTCCTCTGCAAGATCAAGTGCCCTTACTCATTGGCCATCTCTCCAACCTCTAAAATAACTTTTGTAGCTACTGAGTAAAGAAGAGTGCCTTTTTTATCAGTTGATGTCATGCCAGGGAATTTGTTCCACTCATCTCCTACACTGTAATTCAGAAAATCTGTCCTTAAGGCTAAAGTGTGCTGTGTGTCAAGTTACTATTTCTTGATCCTGTAATACTCTGCTACCATGCCTGCTCCTAAACTTAATGAATCTGAGCAAGTAAGAATATGGTTGTGAACACCCATGTACTGTTGTCAACCAAAATAACAAACTGTGGTAGTTTGAAGGAGAATGACCCCAACAGGGTTGTTTTGAGTGTGTGGTCCCAGTTAGTGGAACTGTTTGGGAAGGATTAAGAGGTGTGGCCATGGAGTGGGTGTGGTCTTGTTAGAATGGGTATGTCACTGGGATGGGCTTTGAGGTTTCAAAAGCTCATGCCAGGCTTGCTGGCTCTCTGCCTGCTGCCTGTGGGTCAGGATGTGAAGCTCAGCTACTGCTCTAGCAACATGCCTGTCTGCTTCCTATCCTGAAAATAGTGGACTAATGGCTCTGAAACTATAAGCAAGCCCCCAGTTAAATGCTTTTCTTTTCAAAAGTTGCCTGGTTGCAATATCCTTTTCACAGCAGTAAAACAGTAACTAAAACAAATCTGTTCTGTTGCTTTAGACAAAGGGACTTCCACAATGATCTGGAAAGCCAAATTTAAATTTAGAATTGTCAAAGCCCGTCCCCCTCCTTTGTCCCACTAACTCCATTCTCCCATTCTCCTGCCCTGACTCTCCACCCACTATACAAAAGAAAAAAATCATGCCTATGCACAATGTGTTTAAGTTAAATTCATATACTATTCCTGAAAATAGTGACATAATCAACAGCTCAGTGAGCACTGGGATCTAAGCACTGTAAAAGTATTGCAAGTTCCCAGCAGGTTTCTTGACCTCATGGTCCTCTTGCCCTTTGCAATAGGAAAACAGCTGAATAGAAAGGGACATTTTACCTAGATCTGAGGACAGTACTGTGCTATAAAACATACATAATTATAGTTAAGTTCCAGGATAGTAGCCAGTAAAATTCTGTCTCTGTATGACTAGCATTTCCTTTCAACTGTATCATATCCAATATTGCTTAACTAGGAAAAAATTTCTACCACTGTCATCAGCAACTTTTGGCATAATCTTTGTGTGTACACGAGCATAGTATGCAAGCCAGAGAACAGCCATCCATCTTTTCTTTTTTTAAGACAGGCTCTCACTGGAACTTACATGGGCTTTTTTAAAAAAAAAAAAAAAACAAACAATGGGATCATCTGGAAGTTCCTTTTGTTTTGTTTTGGGGGTTGGTTTGTTTGTTTTGTTGTTGTTGTTGGGTTTTTTGTTGTTATTGTCGTTTTCGAGACAGGGTTTCTCTGTATTGCTTTGGAGCCTGTCCTGGAGCTAGCTCTGTAGACCAGGCTGGCCTCAATCTCACAGAGATCTGCCTACCTCTGCCTCCCGAGTGCTGGGATTAAAGGTATGCGCCACCAATGCCCGGCTGTGTGTTTTGTTTTAAAGATTTGTTGTTCTTGTTTTTGGTTTTTCAAGACAGGGTTATTCTGTGTAGCTCTGGCTGTCCTGGAACTCTGTAGACCAGGCTGGCCTCGAACTCACAGAGATCCGCCTCTCTCTGCCTCCCAAGTTCTGGGAATAATGGCATACATCACCACCGCCTGGCAAAATTTTCATTTGTTTTTCTGTGTGTGTGTACATGTGGGGGCCCATGGAGGCCAGGAAAGAACAACAGATCCCCTGAAACTGGATTTACATGAGGTTGTGAGCTACCCAATGTAGATGCTAGGATCTGAACTCAGGTCCTCTGCAAGAGCAGCAAGTGATCTTGCCCACTTAGTTTTCTCCCCAGCCCTGTGTGACTCTATTTTTAAAACATTTACAAAGAGATCAGAGTCAACTGTAGAGAGTAGCCACATAGTGTAGCATGATAAATAAAAGACCCAGAGACTGATATTGGGGCTCACACTTCAAGCTGAAGATCACAAAAACAAAGCAGCCAAGCCACTAGCTAATACCTCTACCTCAGGCTGAAAAGGCTCTCACCAAGACTCTGACTGCTACCTCTCCCCTCAGTGTAACTTAAGAATCAATCTCCACCTGAGACCCTTTGCCTTTTATAGCTCCCTAATTAATGGTGTGTGATCATAAGTGCTAAGGTCATCTTTGTGTGAGCTGTTTCTCTTTAGAATTACATCAATTTCTTATAGCGCACTGTGGCCTTGAACTAACAGAGATGTGTCTACCTCTTAATCCTGAGTCATGGGATTAAAGGAGTATACCACCACTGCCTAGCTTCTATAGCTAACTAGTATGGCTGTTTTGGTATTTTGATCTCCAGTGTCTTTAATAAATCTTAAACAGTATATTGCCACAGTTACCCCTTTTGTCTAATATGAAAAAGGAAGGCTACAACTAACATAAAAACAACTGCATACAAGTTATACAATATATACAAGCAATAAGTTCATCAACAATGTCTAGTCCATTTGCATTTGACAAATTCAGAGAAATTACTTCATTGTCTAACC